CCCCCCATCATGGCCTGATTTTCAAAAGATTTCAGCGCCCAGCATAGTGAATTCTCCTGAAAATCTGGCCCGCCGGGCAGCTGGCAACAACAGGAGCTACTGTTTGGTGGGCATTTTAAACATCTGACCATTTTATTCAGGGGCCTAAATGGGAGGTGAGCACTTTTTAAAACCTGGCCTTTAGAGAACAGGGTGTTTAAAGTCACTCTGGTTTCTCATCAGTGATCCTGGACAACAAAGACCCAGCCAGTGATGCTGAACCAACTGAGAAAGGTTTGGCCCAGAAGCTGCCTCCCCCAGTTTCAGAGGCTGACCCAGTTCGCAGACACAGGACCACTTTCAGGCGGGAGCAACTGGTGACACTGGAGCAGGAATATTCCAAGGAGAGCTACCTTTCTGGGGCCAGGAGGTACAAATTGGCTAGTGCTGTGAATCTACCTGAATGCACTATCAAGGTAAACTGTTGTCCCTGGTATGCTCTGAGACAGGAATGGTCTGGCTAAGGCCCTAGAGAGGAAAAGATTGGGATCTCATGTCTTGTCTTGGAGCCAGTATGTGCTGATATCACTTCTAAGGGACAACCTTGTTTGTTAACTGATTAAATCCCATGACATGGGCATTTCAGAGCAGGACCCAAATCAAAGTGGGAGCTGATCCAAGGGATTACCTGATACTAGAAGAATCCAGAGACCCGGGTTCTATTCCTCACTCTGTTCACAACTGGTGTGACATGGAGCAAGTCACTTAAGCCCAGATCCTCAAAGATATTATAGGTTTCAGAGTAGCAGCCGTGTTAGTCTGTATCCGAAAAAAGAACAGGAGTACTTGTGGCACCTTAGAGACTAACAAATAAATTTGTTAGTCTCTAAGGTGCCACAAGTACTCCTGTTCTTTTTTAAAGATATTATAGGTGCCTAACTTCTATTGCTTTTAGCGGTAGTTAGGTGCCTAAATACCTTTGAGGATCTAGGCCCACCTCTCTATCCATAAGGTGCATCTTATTGAGGTTCCCTTCCCCCATGACAGCTATTTCCTGCTCCATGATTCAGTTTCCCCACCTGTAAAATTGATAGCAATTCTTCTTTCCCTCCTTAGTGGCGTAGCAGGGGCTGAGTTATTGTTTACAAAGTGCTTTGCATGGAAAGTGCTTGGGAAGTGCAAAGCCCAATCATTTTCTTCACACAGGTTTGGTTCCAGAACCAAAGGATGAAGGATAAAAGGAAGAGATACTCTCTGCCTTGGCCTCCCCTCTTGGGCCCTGTTTTATATAGCTACATGAGCCAGACCTCCCATATTTCATACCCTCTACCGTCTCAGATGCCTGTCCCTTTGTACTCAAGTATCTTCCCGACATTTCTAAGGCCCTTGGATAACATCAGATTTTTTCCTCCACCATTCCTGAGGCCTGACGTCCTCTCCAATTTCAGATATCCCTCTCTTTACCAGTCACTGGGAGCTCACCCTGCCATCTATTATTGCACTGAGACTCAAGATATTGGAAAGGATCAAGAAAGCAATTCAGTGGTCCCCTCAAGGGTTGTAATGACCCTCATCTCCACCTCTCTCTTCTTGCCATAGGATGACAAACTCCATGTATGGGGGGAAGAAGGGTGGGAAGGAAAGACAATTCCAGGCACAGGTATTCTACTATAAATTTTTTATACAGGAACTAGGAAAAACTCAGGGTAACAAAATTACATTGAATCAGTCTGTATTATAAATTTAAAAAGGTTAATGTTTTAGGTGGACTTTGGATTGGAGTTTTTTTTCCTTGACATTCAGACCCTGTCATCTGTCTCACAACCAGGCTGAACAGCTGTAACTCCACCTGCTTCAACATTTGATGGATGGCATAGACCAGATTCATCCTTGGTTTAATGCTGCTGAGATCAGTGGAATTACAGCAGCAGTGATACATTTGTCTCAGTCTATTTAACCATAGTAGGCAATTGCTTACTGTTTAAATAAACACACCAAAAAAAGTGTGTGTGTGGAGGGGGGTCTTTGATTTTTCAGTGCCTAAAAAATGTCCCCTCCTCATTGCATGGGAGAGCGTATTGGCTCAGAAAGGATCCCAGCCTAAAATAGGAATTAAATCCAAGACAGAAAGCTAGGAATGTCAGAGAAGGCATAAATGTGAGGTCGGGGGTTGAACCCAGATCCTCAATGGCATTTACATGCCTAAATTCCCAATCTGGGTTAATTCCCATTGATGTTCAATGCAGGCTTTGATCCTTTTAAAAACATTGTTTTTAGAGGTGTATTGTTTTATATTGTAAACTCATATAGTGCAATATACTGGGGCAGACAGGTGAGGAGGTGCAATAAGAGGCCAGTGAACTTTTATATAGATATTATGTAGACAGTGTAATTTTCCTGGTTTTCTGGTATTAAATAAGCATTATTCAGGCACTTGTGAACAAATCTGACATCAGTGAGTTTCTCTCCTGCATGTGATTCACCGCCGTTGGAGAATATAAGAGGAATTAATGCTAAAGGCTGAGAACATCCTCATTTTGTGAAGACAGCTTCCCTACTTGAGCTGCTGAAGAGCATTCACAGTGGAAAAACTTCCCCATCCTTTGGCTCAGATGCTGATGAACCTGTGTGTCTCAAGAGCAAAGTCTTAAGGACAAGGCAGGCGACGTGGGATCCTCAGACAGGGCCCTACAGAGTGCTGTGCGTTCTGGACCCAATCCAGCAGAACACTTCAGCACGTGCTTAATTTTAACAGCTGACTCATGTATTTGGGGGCTTTGCTGATTTAAGACGACAGCTCCCCAGTTCGACAGATTGAGCCCTTATCCCAAATCTTTCATGATAATGGTCATCAGGTTATGCTCTTCTCTGAAAGCTATTTCTTTCCTTACATGCATGATTAAAAAAAAAGAGGCAATTCTGGCAATCTTGAAAACATCTTAAAAGATAGTGGGGTGTGTGGGTAATTCAAGGAGTGGCGAATAAGATAGTTTTGCTTTTCATAAGGAACAGAAAAAGAAGGCAGATGTGGGTAGGCAGACCAGTTACTTAATTGGCCATATAGGCCTAAATAAGATTAATAAACTTGTCTCTAAACACAAAATAAGGGGTGGCACGTCATCACAAATCCATATATCAATAGAGAACTAGCAGATGAAGGAAAGAAAGCCTTAGCAAGCCATCCTGGATGACCTCTCGAGGTCCCTTCCAGTCCTAGAATCTATGAATCTATGAATCCTTTAATGAGTACAGATGGAGAAAAAGCCAAAACCACTGCTGACAGGGCAGGTACCACCTACAAACTCTCAGCATGCCATGCAGTTACAGGCTTAAAATACAAATGCTGTATTTTATACTACATTTTTTGCTGTGTAATCCTTTGTCACCAAATGCATCTCCCTGAACTTGCTCTTTCAACCGAAAATATTCCTTTGTCTCTGTCAGCTAGTTAACAGGAGGACTGGGAAAAAGAACAGGAGTACTTGTGGCACCTTAGAGACTAACAAATTTATTAGAGCATAAGCTTTCGTGGACTACAGCCCACTTCTTCGGATGCATATAGAGTGAAACATGTATTGAGGAGATATATATACACACATACAGAGAGCATGAACAGGTGGGAGAT